AATCGTACGGTGTCGAATAATTTGGTGTCGAATAAATCTGTGTCGAATCGAGCGGTGTCGAATCGTACTGTGGTCAATAGAGTATCACCTCTTAAAAGTCATAAATAATTTTCAAAACTATATGTAACAAGATTGTTTCTAATAACTACAACAATATAAAATCATCAGTTATACAGTATTTGCAAATCAACAATTATTTATAATCAACAATTTTTTATCCAGAAAATTAACATATTTTTTACCAAATACGCTGTTATTTTTGGATGTAATAATTCTACAAAATTAGAGTAACCTAACATACTACACATTTATTTTTATTCTTTCTTTATTTATTCAGAATATGCAATCACAAAAAATGGCGACAAAATAAAGTAAACCAAAGATACCTACAACATTTCTTGACCATAATAACTAACTACAATCAACACTTGGCATTTTATATAAATAAATGTACATATATGATTTCATCTACATACAACAAAATATTATATAAAAAATTTTAAAAGACCTTTCTAGATAAGGAATATTTTATTTTACCACAACAAAACAAAACGTAACACCCTTCATCTTACTTCTTAACGCATTGTGCGTTAATCTTTCTCGTTTTATTGTTTTAATAAAAGTAAGTAGCAATTTCTATTCCCTTACTATTATTAATTATTATCCTTATGCCTGATATTTTCTCTAGTGTGCTCAGGGCTTTAGGCTTAAAGCAACGTGTAGTCGTTATCACCGTGGTCAACCGCAACGGGGTCACAAGTAAATCGGGAGCAACTCGTGGGCAATTGCAACGTGAGCAATTGCATCGTGGGCAAAAGCAACTTGTGGGCAATCGCAACGTGGGTAAAAGCATCTCGTGGGCAAAAGCAACGCGGGCAGTTGCAACGTGGGCAATCGCAATGTGGGCAAAAGCAACTCGTAGGCAATTGCACCGTGGGCATTCGCAAAGTGGGCAATCGCAACTTAGACAAAAGCAACTCGTGGGCAATCGCAATGTGGTCAAAAGCAACTCGTGGCCAATTGCAATGTGGGCAATCGCAACGTGGGCAATCGCAACGTGGGCAAATGCAATGTGGGCTATCGCAAGGTGGACAAAAGCAACTCGTGGGCAATTACAACGTGGGCAAAAGCAACGTGGGCAAAAGCAACGCGGACAGTCGCAACGTGGGCAATTGCAACGTGGGCATTTGCAAAGTGGGCAATCGCAACGTGGGCAAAAACTACTCGTGGGCACTTGCAACGTAAGCGAAAGCAACGTAGACAAGTAGTGACTGTGGGCAATCGCATCGTGGGCAAAGACTTCCACTCCACATTTCTATCTCCTCCAGTGGGCATGGCCAATCATCCCCATAACTGAAAGGAAGGGAGAAACCACTCTGGTAGGGCAATGGCGCCAGAAGTGGTAAGCGGGCCAGGTAGAGGGAGTTTGTTTTGACGCGCCATACTGGCCCACATACTACTGTTGTTAGATATTTAGTTTTTTTTTTTTAATTTTTTTGATTCTAAAAGTACCATAGTACCATGATCAAAAAATAACCGGAATTTATTCATGAAAAGAAAAGTACATGTTTATTCTTCAAAATTCAAGTTGTCCCCTTTAAAGTAGTCTCCGTCGGCTGCGATGCACTTGTGCCAGCGTTTGATCCACCCCTCAAAGCTTTTCTGGAAGTCGGTTTTTGGTATAGCCATTAGTGCCTCCAGCGATTTTAGCTTTATTGCCTCCACACTCTTAAAACGAGTTCCTCGTAGTGGTTTTTTGAGTCGATCAAATAGGAAAAAATCACATGGTGCCAGATCAAGTGAATTGGGCGGTTGTTGAATGGTATTGGTGTTGTTTTTGACGAGAAACTCAAGAATAATCAACGCATCTTGGCACCATTCTTTTAACACCAATCTCGCAGTGACTCGCCTCAGACCCAAATCCTCACGCAAAATGCTCTGAACGGATCCGAATGATATTATGGTGGTCTCAGCTATCTCTCTTATCGTCAATTTGCGACTTTCGATCAACAATTGTCGGATTTCATCGACGTTTTCATCAGTTTTCGATGTCGATGACCTCCCAGGACGAGCATCGTCCTCAACAGCCTCACGACTACTTTTAAAGCGTTCATATCACTGGTACACCTGTGTTTTCGATAGAGTATCGTCACCATAACACTTTTGTAACATTTTTTATGTGTCGGAACACTTAATTTCATTTTTATAGCAAAATTTAATGCAAGAACGTTGGTTAAGTTTTGAATCCATTGTAAAAATCGCCGCGACGTAAAAACTTCATGTAAAGAAATCACTGTCATAAAGATAAATGAACAGCTGATAAGCAGAAGCTTGGCCTAGGTGTCCGTAATAGTGCCAACGTGACACAAATAACAGAATTCTAAACCGATAAGCCCGCGAGGTTTAAATTAAAAATTCCGGTTAGTTTTTGATCATGGTAGTAAAACTAATAAAATGATTACGTACACACATGTACACATATATAAAAGAAGAAGTGATGTAGTGACTAACAATATGTTAACGCAATTATTTTTTCACAAATCTAATAGTTATTGCATTATCGCTGCTTTATTTTATCCTAGTATAAATAAAATAAGGTATAAATAACTAAGTTTGTAAGTAAAGTTAAAAAAACTTTCAAAAGTGAATTTTATTTTAGTATTTGTTGATCAGTGAGATCTTATTTATTGATTAACCTTTTCGCTCCGGGGATTTTTCCTTTAAAATTGACCTCGCATTTTAGCTGAATTTTATGACTTAAATGAATGAACTTTTTATGACAAGTCGCCACTCGAAATGCTGGTCCATATATGGACCACTCCCGGAGATAAAGTTAAGGTTAATGTAAAAAATTATAAGTGAAGGTTTAAGAGCGCTTTTCAATGTTTTTTGATGAGCTGATTACAATAAAAATAGTGAAAAAAATGTCAGATTCATATTTGACCTTGAACTTTGAAGGTCAAAGCATGAAATTGGGTATTAGCGCTTAAAAAATTGCACTTTACAGTCTTTCTGTTAGTAAGAAAGCATTCTAGACAGTCCGTAGTGCAGAAGTACTAAGTTTTACCCTCGGATTGAACGCGTTCTACCGCCCAATGGGACTTCACAGTCCCTCAGTCAATGAGAGTGGATGTAAGTTCCTTCACTAGCTCCATACACCTTGGAATTTTATAATTCTACAAAAGGCTTTTGCTCTTAGCGTTACCCAGAATCAACGACGTAGACGTTGCGGAAATATGATTCCTTTGGGGTGCTTGTTTATTGTGAGTCCCCTTGCCTCTCACTTGGGGTGCTTGTTTATTGTGAGTCCTCTTGCCTCTCACGTCACACCATTAGACATTGTGTTAGTGTCTGTTGTGTCTGGTACTCTTCAAAACATGGAGTTACGCACAGAGGAATATCACACGTGGAACAAATGTACGAGGTTCTTCGCGTTATCTTTCGCAAACTGCATAAGTGGCATCTTCGTCGTGTACTGTCCTTCGGAAAATGACGTCCAATTAATCGATTAAGGTGACTAACGTTTTGAGGGATGCTCTTAAAAACACACTTCAACAAAGCCCTGATAACCTCTAATCAAAACACTGGAAATGGAGCAGGTCCTGCATTTCTCATTTTGTACATGGCGTGAGCGTTTGAGAGGCACAAATCTACTAGGTGAAAAAATAGTTTGCGGTACCATTTCATTGTTTTTTGTACAGTTTCAGTGATGGATAGTTGTCTGTCTACATTGTCTGCACCTCCCATATTTTGGTTATAGTTGTAGTTACACGTTGGTTTCATGATATCCTCATCTGTGCTACGACGTTTCTTGCCAGTTGGACAAAAATCAACCTCGTGCACAGTTGACAACATACGCACACTTCTTTTGTCCTCCCATTTCATTGCCATCCAGACGTCAGTGTGAGCAACTTGTATTTGTCCTCGTGATAACTTATTTTCCAGTTTCGGCATTCCCTTTCTATTTGCTTTTACTGTCCCACACAGACCAGTATCTCGGTCATGCAAAAATTCTGCCAAGGCAGGAGATGTGTACCAATTGTCAACATACACAACGCGACCCTGACGATGGTACGGTTCTAAGAAGTGGGCGACAATATCTCCAGTAACACCTAATCCGAACTTTCTATAGTCAGTGTCTGCTCCTGTATACACAATAAAGTTTAGAATGAATCCCGTTTCACAGTCAACTAGCTCAAACAGCTTGATGCCAAACCGATTTCGCTTCAAAGGTATATACTGTTTGAATCTAAGCCGCTCTTTCCAAAGTAATAGACTTTCATCAATACAGACTTTTTTCCCTGGAGTGAGAGCTGCTGAAAATTTAAATTGAAGAAAATCTATTACTGGCTTGATTTTTGCTAAAGTATAGCCTGCAATATCCGATGTCGTATTTTCATTGTCGCAAAAATGAATGTAACACAAAATCTGCAAGTATCTGTCGCGAGACATCATCTGACAAAAAATTGGAGTTTGTACTAATTGATCAGTCAACCAATAACTATGTAATTCGCCTTTCCGAACGTGTCCCATAAGAATCAAAAGGCCAAGAAAAATTTCGAAGTCTTCTTTTGTGTGGGGAGTCCAAGGCTTCATATGGTCACTTTGAATTCCAGGATTTTAAAAATGATAACGATTAGTTTCTTCAATAATCATTTCAATCAGTGAGGAGTCGAAAAAATAATTGAAGAAGTCTATAGGTGTAGCTGCTACATTGATGTTTTGATTGATTTCAGAGGTACCGTTGAAATCCTTTATTGATGGAAAAAACCACGAGTCTTCATAAATTTGATCTTCGACATACTCCACATCTTCTAAATCTTATAAATCAAACCATATGTTTCTTCATCGTCAGGGTCTCTTTCCTCTGGCTCAGATTCGCCGCTTGTCCAAGCTTCGTCGTCAGCCATTATCTCAAAGATAAGTGATGGAACACTTCTTGAATAGCAAAATGTAATAACAATAACGAACAACTACTATGCTAATTAGAATATATACGTGAAAGTGTGAAAAATAACTAAATACTATCTCGTTGTCAAATGCTACTAAAAATGACAATTTTCCGATACTTTTACCTGGAGTTCACCTATAAAATCAGTTTTTTCAACAAGTGCACAGAGAAATGTCTTTATAGAATTACCAATGTAAAAAAAATTGACCTTGACATAGCTATTACTTCTAGATACTACACAATGAAAAAGATACAGATACATATGTTATCATTCAGTACTTATACTCCGAACTTACTAAACAAAGATGACAAGACGATCTTGATAGAGCTAGTGTCACCTCAGCGTACCAAAAACGTTTGTTTATTGATTTTCAGATAAGATAATGTTTTGCACATATTGATCTTCAAACTTCAAAGTCGGTGAGGTAGTTAGACTTATTTACTAATATTCTTATTTACTATAGCAGATAAAATCTAGGTACACCAATTTTCAAGTTTTCAAGGGCAAATACGCATTTTCATACTTTGACCTTCAAAGTTCAAGGTCAAAGAAGTCACTAGAATTTTTTTACTAATTTAACGTATTCAGCGACTCATAAAACGTAGGTATACCAATTTTCAAGCGCAAATACGCATTTTCATTGTTTGACCTTCAAAGTTAATTTTGGGCGTGTTCCGTTTGACCACAGTACGATTCGACACCGATCGATTCGACACCAAATTATTGGACACAGATTTATTCGACACCGTACGATTCGACACAAAATTATTCGACACCGTACGATTCGACACCAGATTATTCGACACCGTACGATACG